AGTGACCATGAGTGACCAATGGGTGACCACAGAGTGACCACTGAGTGACCAATGGGTGACCACAGAGTGACCAATGAGTGACCACAGAGTGACCAATGAGTGACCAATGGGTGACCACAGAGTGACCAATGGGTGACCATTGAGTGACCACAGAGTGACCACAGGGTGACCAATGAGTGACCACAGAGTGACCACAGAGTGACCACAGAGTGACCAATGACCAATGGGTGACCACTGACCACAGAGTGACCACAGAGTGACCACAGAGTGACCAATGAGTGACCATGAGTGACCAACGAGTGACCAATGAGTGACCACTGACCCCTGTCCCCTGTCCCTGTCCGTGTGTCCCCAGGTGGTGACCGCTCGCTGGCCATGGTGACCGCTCCGGACGCCTGCGGCCGCGGCCTGGCCTGAGGGGCAGCGCTGGACATGCGGCCGCGCGGGGGAGGGGCCGCGGACGCTGCCCACCCTGGAGGCACCGGGACCTCCCACGGGGACATCTGCAATGGTGGCATCAACCATGGGGACATCTCCAGTGGTGGCATCTGTGATGGGGACATCTCCAATGGTGGCACCTGCCATGGGGACATCTCCAATGGTGGCACCTCCCACGGGGACATTTCCAGTGGTGCATCAACCATGGGGACATCTCCTGTGGTGGTGGCATCTGTGATGGGGACATCTCCAGTGGTGGCATCTGTGATGGGGACATTTCCAATGGTGGCATCTCCTGTGGTGGCATCTCCCAGGACATCAGCTCCCATGGTGGCATCACCTCCCATGGTGGCATCTATGATGGTGACATCTCCAATGGTGGCATCTACCACGGCTTCAGCTCCTACGGTGGTGGCACCTGCAATGGGGACATCTCCAACAGGGACACCTCCAGCAGGGACATCTCCAGCAGTGGTGGCATCTCCCATGACATCATCCCCCATGGTGACATCTCCCATGGTGGCACCTGCACCAGGGACATCTCCAGCAGTGGTGACATCTCCCATGGTGGCATCACCTCCCATGGTGGCACCTCCCACAGGGACATTTCCAATGGTGGCATCTCCCATGGTGACATCTCCCATGGTGGCATCTCCCACGGCTTCAGCTCCTACGGTGGTGGCACGTGCAATGGGGACATCTCCAACAGTGATGGCATCTCCCATGACATCACCTCCCATGGTGGCATCTCCCATGGTGGCACCTGCACCAGGGACATCTCCAGCAGTGGTGCCATCTCCCGTGGTGGCACCTCCCATGGGGACATTTCTAATGGTGACATCTCCCGTGGTGGCATCTCCCATGGTGGCATCACTTCCCACAGTGACATTTCCCACAGGGCCACCTCCAGCAGTGGTGGCACCTCCCACGGTGGCATTGATCACGGTGACATTTCCAATGGTGGCATCTCCCATGGCTTTGCTTCCCATGGTGGCATCTCCCACGGGGGACATCTGCAACAGTCGTGGCATTTCTCACGGTGGCATCTCCAGCAGTGGTGGCACCTCCCATGGCATCTCCTCACATGGTGGCATCTCCAGCGGTGGCACCTCCCACAGTGACATCTCCAGCACTGGTGGCATCTCCAGCAGTGGTGGCACCTCCCATGACCTCGTCTCCCGTGGTGGCATCTCCCATGGTGGCATCTCCCACGGGGACATTTCCAATGGTGGCACCTGCAACAGGGACACCTGCAGCAGTGGTGGCATCTCCCATGGGCACATCTCCAACGGTGGCATCTCCAACGGTGGCATCACTTCCCACTGGGACATTTCCCACGGTGGTGGCATCTCCGGTGGCTTCAGCTCTCGTGGTGGCACTGCCACGGGAACGTCTGCAACAGTGGTGGCACCTCCCACAGGAACGTGTCCAATGGTGGTGGCACCTCCCGTGGGGACATCTCCCATGGTGGCATCTCCCATGGTGGCATCTCCCATGGCATCACTTCCCATGGTGGCATCTCCCACAGGGACATCTCCAGCAGTGGTGGCATCTCCCACGGTGGCATTGATCACGGTGGCATTTCCAATGGTGGCATCTCCCATGGGGACACCTCACAAAGTGACATCTCCAAGAGTGGTGGCATCTCCCACAGGGGTATCTCCAACGGGGACGTCTCCCATGGGGACATCTCCCATGGTGGCACCTGCAACAGGGACATCTCCATCAATGGTGGCATCTCCCATGGGGACATCTCCAGCAGTGGTGGCATCTCCCATGGGGACATCTCCAGCAGTGGTGGCATCTCCCATGGTGGCATCTCCCATGGCATCATCTCCTACAGGGACATTTCCTACAGTGACGTCTCCAACAGTGATGGCATCTCCAGCAGTGGTGGCATCTCCCATGGTGACATTTCCAATGGTGGCATCTCCAGTGGTTGGCATCTCCCACAGGGACATTTCCTACAGTGACATCCCCCACAGGGACATCTCCCATGGTGGTGGCTCCTCTCATGGCATCATCTCCCATGGTGACAACTCCTTCCACAGTGACATCTCCAATGGTGGCATCTCCCATGGTGGTGGCTCTGCTCATGGTGACACTCCCCATGGTGGCACTGCAGAGGTGGCACCTCCCACGGTGACAATTCTCATGGCGATGGCACTTGCCACGGGTGGTGGCTCCTCTCATGGTGACATCTCCCATGGTGGCACCTCCAAAAGTGACAACACATCCCACGGTGGCATCTCCAGTGGTGGCATCTCCCATGGTGGCATTTCCAATGGTGGCATCTCCAGTGGTGGCATCTCCAGTGGTGGCATCTCCCATGGTGACATCAGCCACAATGACGTTTTCCATGGTGGTGGCACCTGTCGCGTCATGACCCCCCATGGTGGCACCTCCCATGGTGGTGGCACCTCCCACATGGACGTCTCCAGCAGTGACACCTGCAATGGTGACATCTGCCACTGTGGTGGCACCTCCCGTGGTGGTGGCATCTCCAACGGTGGCATCTCCAACAGGGACATTTCTTGTGGTGGTGGCACCTCCCACAGTGGTGGCACCTCCCATGATGGTGGCATCTCCAACAGGGGACATCTCTGACAGTGGTGGCACCTCCCACAGTGGTGGCACCTCCCATGGTGATGTCTCCCATGATGGTGGCATCTCCAACAGGGACATCTCCCATGATGGTGACACCCCCCACGATGGTGACACCTCCCATGGTGGTGGCATCTCCCATGGCTTTGCCACCTCCCACAATGACATTTCTGAGGACTTGGGCACTTGCCATGGCTTTGCCATCTCCCATGGTGGTGACACCTCCAACAGTGACACCTCCCATGGTGGTGACACCTCCCATGCTGGTGTCACCTCCCATGGCTTTGACACCTCCCATGGTGGTGGCACCTCCCATGGCTTTGACACCTCCCATGATGGTGACACCTCCAACAGTGACATCTCCCATGGCTTTGACACGTCCCACAATGGTGTCACCTCCCATGACAGTGACACCTACCATGATGACACCTCCAACAGTGACATCTCCTGTGATGGTGCCACCTCCCACAGTGACACCTCCCACGGCTTTGACGCCTCCCATGATGGTGGCATCTCCCATGGCTTTGACACCTCTCAAGATGGTGACACCTCCCATGCTGGTGGCATCTCCCACAGCTTTGCCACCTCCCATGGTGGTGGCATCTCCCACAGCTTTGCCACCTCCCATGCTGGTGGCATCTCCCACAGCTTTGCCACCTCCCATGGTGGTGGCATCTCCCACGGCTTTGCCACCTCCCCTGCTGGCGCCACCTCCTGTGGCTTCCCCCTCTCCCCCATCTTCCCCCCCTCCACCCACCCCTTCCTCCTCCTCCTCCTCCTCCTCCTCCTCGTTGTCCCCGTCCCCTCCTTGGCCGCCACCTTCAAGGTCGGCGTCCTCGGTCCCTGGAGCTGCGACCCCGTCCTGGCCCGGGCCCTGCCGGACGTGGCCTCGCGTTTGGCCGTGGCGCGGCTCAACCGCGACCCCGCGCTGACCGCCGGCTACTGGTGGGACTCCGTGGTGATGTCCGAGCCCTGCTCCACGCCCCAGGCCGTGGCCGGAGTGGTCAGCGCCGAGCGTTACGCCAGCGCCATCGTGGGTCCTCTCAACCCGGCCGCCTGCGGCGCCGCCGGACTCTTGGCCGCCGCTTGGAACAAACCTTTGGTGTCCTGGACGTGCGGGGCGGCCGGAGCGGCCGGAGGAGCCGCGGTCACTCTGCTGCGGCCGCTGCCCGCTCCGGCTGCCGTGCTGCACGCGGTGCTGCGCTACTTCCGCTGGGCACACGTGGCCGTGGTGGCCGCGCCGCAGGACCTGTGGGTGGACACGGGGCAGGAGGTGGCCAAGGAGTTGAGGGCCAAAGGGCTGCCGGTCACTGTGGTCACTGTGGCCGGAGAGGAGGAGGAGGAGGCGGAGGAGGCGCTGAGGAGGGTCCAGAGGGCGGACGGGGTCAGAGGTGAGGAGCGGGGGGAGGTGGAGGTGGAGGTGGAGGTGGGATGGAGGTGGGGATGGAGGTGGGGACGGAGGTGGAGGTGGAGGAGGGATGGAGAGATGGAGATGGAGATGGGATGGAGATGGGGATGAAGGTGGGATGGAGGTGGAGATGGAGGTGGGGATGGAGATGGAGGTGGGATGGAGATGGAGATGGAGATGGAGATGGAGGTGGGATGGAGGTGGGGATGGAGGTGGGGATGGAGGTGGAGGTGGGATGGAGGTGGGATGGAGGTGGAGATGGAGGTGGGGATGGAGATGGAGGTGGGATGGAGATGGAGATGGAGATGGAGATGGAGGTGGGATGGAGGTGGGGATGGAGGTGGGGATGGAGGTGGAGATGGAGGAGGAGGAGAGATGGGGGGATGGAGCTGGGATGGAGATGGGGATGAAGGTGGGATGGAGGTGGAGGTGGACGTGGGGATGGAGGTGGGATGAAGAGATGGAGGGATGGAGATGGGGTGGAGGTGGAGGTGGAGGTGGGATGGAGATGGAGATCAAGGTGGGGATGGGGGTGGGGATGGAGGGATGGAGGTGGGGATGGAGATGGGGATGGAGGTGGAGGTGAAAGTGGGGATGGAGGTGGGGATGGAGGGATGGAGATGGGATGGAGATGGAGGTAGAGGTGGGGATGGAGATGGGATGGAGATGGGGATGGGGATGGGGATGGAGATGGACATGAACTTGGAGAGAGGGATGGAGATGGAGGAGGGACGGAGGGATGGATGGACGGATGGACGGATGGATGAAGATGGTGGACATGGGATGGATGGATGGATGGATGGATGAAGGATGGATGAAGATGGGGGACATGGGATGGATGGATGGATGGATGAAGGATGGATGAAGATGGGGGACATGGGATGGATGGATGGATGGATGGATGGACGGACGGATGGGTGGATGGAGGTGGGACGGAAGTGGGATGGAGATGGACATGGGGATGGAGGTGGGATGGAGACAGAAATGGAGATGGAGAGATGGAGGTGGGATGGATGGATGGATGGATGATGGATGATGGATGATGGACGGATGGACAGACGGACGGATGGACGGATGGCTGGCTGGATGGATGGACAGACGGACGGACAGACAGACGGGCGGATGGACACCGGGACATCTGAAGCGCGGCCGGACACAGACGGTCACGCCAAGCCCGTCCCCACGGCGCCGTGTCCCCGCTGTGTCCCCGGCAGTGGTGCTCATGTGCATGCACTCGGTGCTCCTGGGCGGCCGCGAGCAGAGGGTGCTCCTGGAGAAGGCCGAGGACCTGGGCATGACCGACGGCACCTTCGTCTTCATCCCGTACGACGCGCTGACCTTCGCGCTGCCCTACCGCCGCGTGCCCTACCCCGTGCTGGCCAACAACACCAAGCTGCGCCTGGCCTACGACGCCGTGCTCACCGTCACCATCGACTCGCCCGACGCCTCCTTCCACGAGGCCCTGGACGAGGCCAAGAAGGCCTACGAGGTCCCCGCCGACCTCGACCCCGCTGAGGTGGGGTCGCCGGAGGGGGGGGTTTGGGGGTGTCTCGAGGGGGTTTGAGGGCGTCTCAAGAGGTTTGAGGGCATCTGCAGGGGGTTTGAGGGCATCTCAAGGGGTTTGAGGGTGTCTCGAGAGGGTTGGGGGTGTCTTGAAAGGTTTGGGGGTATCTTGTGGGGGTTGGAGGGCATCTCGAGAGGGTTGAGGGCACCTTGAGAGGTTTAGAGTGTGTCTCAAGAGGGTTGGGAGTGTCTCGAGGGGGTTTGAGGGTGTCTCAAGAGGTTTGAGGGTGTCTTGAGAGGTTTGGGGGTATCTTGAGGGGGTTGGAGCTATCTTGAGAGGGTTTGAGGGCATCTCCAATGGGTTTGAGGGTGTCTCGAGAAGGTTTGAGGGTGTCTCGAGAGGTTTGAGGGCGTCTTGAAAGGTTTGGGGGTATCTTGTGGGGGTTGGAGGTATCTTGAGAGGGTTTGAGGGCATCTTGAAAGGGTTGGGGATATCTTGAGAGGGTTTGAGGGCATCTCCAGGGGGTTTGAAGGCATCTCGAGAAGTTTAGGGGTGTCTCGAGGGTTTGGGGTGTCTTGAGGGGTTTGAGGGCATCTCAAGAGGGTTTGGGGTGTCTTGAGAGGGTTTAAGGGCATCTCCAGGGGGTTTAAGGGCATCTCGAGAGGTTTTGAGGGCATCTCGAGAGGGTTGGGGACATGTCAAGAGGTTTGGGGATGTCTCGAGAGGGTTTGAGGGCATCTCCAGGGGGTTTTTGGGTACCTTCAGGGGATTTGGGACATCTCAAGGGTCCACACCACAATGGTGGGAGGTGCCGCTATCATTGACCACGGCCAATGGGACGTGACCTGGACCATCTTGGTTGGCCGTGGCCAATGGGAGATGACCGTGGCCAATGGGACATGGCCTGGACCATCTTGGTTGGCCGTGGCCAATGGAAGGTGACTGTGGCCAATGGGACGTGGCCAGGACCATCTTGGCTGGCCGTGGCCAGTAGAAGATGACCACGACCAACCCAAGCTGACCGTGGCCATCTCCATTGACCACGCCCAACGCAAAACCACCACGCCCAACCCAACCACACCCACCACCACCACCACCTCCCACCTGTGTCCTCCCACCAGGTCCACCCTCTCTTCTCCACCATCTACAACTCCATCTACTTCCTGGCCACGGCGGTGGAGGCCGCGCGCCGCAGCGGCCGCTGGGTGATGGGCACCAGCGTGGCCGACCACGCCCGCGACTTCCAGCTCCAGGGCTTCTGCCAGACCTTCACCGTGGACCAGGACGGCGCCGTCTCGGTGCCCTACGTGGTGCTGGACACGGACGGCAAGGGCCACCACCTGTGGGCGGTCTACGGGCTGGAGCCGGGCACGCGCGGCCTCAGCTACCGCAGCCACAGCCCCCACTGGCCCCACAGCTCCAGCCCGGCCACCGACGCCGGCTGCTGGTTCGACTCCGGCGCCATCTGCAACGGAGGTGAGCGGTGGGGTGGTGGTGGTGGGGTGGAGGTGGTGGAGGTGGTGGTTATGGGGTCTGCTGTGGTGGCACTGTGGTTGTGGGTCAGTTGGGGTCATGGTGGCACCGTGGTTGTGGGTCTGCTGTGGTGAGCGTGGTGGTGATGGAGGTGGTTATGGGGTCTACTGTGGTGGCACTGTGGTTCTGGGTCACTTGGGGTCGTGGTGGCACCATGGTTGTGGGTCTGCTGTGGTGGCACCGTGGTGCTGGAATGGCCCTGGTGGAAGTGGTGGAGATGGTGGAGGTGGTTATGGGGTCTGCTGTGGTGGCACTGTGGTTGTGGGTCTGCTGTGGTGGCACCATGGTGCTGGAATGGCCATGGTGGAAGTGGTGGAGATGGTGGAGGTGGTTTTGGGGTCTGCTGTGGTGGCACTGTGGTTGTGGGTCAGTTTGGATCATGGTGGCACCGTGGTTGTGGGTCTGCTGTGGTGAGCATGGTGGTCATGGTGAAGATGGTGGAGGTGGTTTTGGGGTCTGCTGTGGTGGCACCGTGGTGCTGGATCAGTTGGGGTCATGGTGGCACCATGGTTCTGGGTCTGTTATGGTGGCACCATGGTTGTGGGTCTGCTGTGGTGGCACCATGGTCATGGTGGAGGTGATGGAGGTGGTTTTGGGGTCTGCTGTGGTGGCGCTGTGGTTGTGGGTCAGTTTGGGTCATGGTGGCACCATGGTTGTGGGTCTGCTGTGGTGGCACCATGGTGCTGGAATGGCCATGGTGGGTGGGGTGGAGGTGGTGGAGGTGGTTTTGGGGTCTGCTGTGGTGGCACCGTGGTTGTGGGTCAGTTGGGGTCATGGTGGCACCATGGTTCTGGGTCTGCTGTGGTGGCACCGTGGTCATGGTGGAGGTGGTGCAGGTGGTTATGGGGTCTGCTGTGGTGGCACTGTGGTTCTGGGTCACTTGGGGTCGTGGTGGCACCGTGGTTGTGGGTCTGCTGTGGTGGCACCGTGGTGCTGGAATGGCCGCGGTGGGTGGGGTGGTGGAGGTGGTGAAGGTAGCTCTGGGTCTGCTGTGGTCATGGTGGCACCGTGGTCATGGTGGAGATGGTGGAGGTGGCTCTGGGTCTGCTGTGGTCATGGTGGCACCGTGGTCGTGGTGGAGATGGTGGAGGTGGTTTTGGGGTCTGCTGTGGTCATGGTGGCACCATGGTTCTGGGTGTGTTGTGGTGGCACCATGGTCCCCTCCATGATCATGGTGCCCCCATGGTGCTGGAATGGCCCTGGTGGTGGTGGTGCCACCGTGGTTCTGGGTCAATTGGGGTCATGGGGCCACCATGGTGCTGGACCATCCATAATCCCATCATGGTCCTGGTGCCACCACGATTCTGGGTCTGCTGGGGTCATGGTCCCACCACGGTGCTGGACCAGCTGTGGGCCCATCATGGTCATGGTGCCACCTTGGTCCCCTCCATGCTCATGGTGCCACCATAGTCATGGATGATCAGGGCCACGGTGCCACCATGGAGCTGGACCAGCCATGGTCCCCTCCAAGGTCATGGTGCCACCTTGGTCCCCTCCATGGTCATGGTGCCACCATAGTCATGAGTGATCAGGGTCCTGGTCCCACCATGGTTCTGGACCAGCCGTGGTCCCCTCCATGGTCGTGGTGCCACCATGGAGCTGGAATGGTCCTGGTCCTGGTGCCACCGTGGTTCTGGACCAGCTGTGGTCCCCTCCATGGTCATGGTGCCACCATAGTCATGGATCATCATGGTCATGGTGCCACCATAGTCATGGATCATCATGGTCATGGTGCCACCATAGTCATGGATGATCAGGGCCACGGTCCCACCGTGGTGCTGGACCAGCCATGGGCCCATCATGATCATGGTGCCACCATGGATCTGGGTCTGCTGTGGTGGCACCATGGTTGTGGTGTTGGCATGGCCGTGCTGGTGCCACCATGGTCACGGTGGCTGGAATGGGGTTCCACCACAGCTCTGGGTTTGCTGTGGTGGCACCGTGGTTCTGGACCAGCTGGGGTCACGGTGGCACCACGATGCTGGGTCTGCTGTGGTGGCATCGTGGTTGTGGGTCCCACCATGGTTCTGGACCAGCCGTGGTCCCCTCCATGGTCATGATGCCACCATAGTCATGGGTGATCAGGGTCACGGTGCCACCATAGTCATGGGTGATCAGGGTCATGGTCCCACCATGGTTCTGGACCAGCCGTGGTCCCCTCCATGGTCATGGTGCCACCATAGTCATGGATGATGAGGGTCATGGTGCCACCATGGTGCTGGACCAGCCATGGTCCCCTCCATGGTCACGGTGCCACCGTGGTCCCCTCCATGGTCATGGTGCCACCATAGTCATGGATGATGAGGGTCATGGTGCCACCATGGTGCTGGACCAGCCGTGGTCCCCTCCAAGGTCATGGTGCCACCACAGTCATGGATCATCAGGGTCATGGTGCCACCATAGTCATGGATCATCAGGTTCATGGTGCCACCATGGTTCTGGACCAGCCGTGGTCCCCTCCATGGTCATGGTGCCACCATGGAGCTGGAACGGTCCTGGTGGTGCTGGTGCCACCGTGGTGCTGGGGCAGCTGCGGTGCCTGGTCCCCCCCGGTCACTGCTGTGGTCACTCCTGGTCACTCCTGGTCACTCCTGTGGTCACTCCTGGTCACTGCTGTGGTCATCTCTGGTCTCCCCCGGTCATTGCTGTGGTTATCTCTGGTCACTCCTGTGGTCATCTCTGGTCACTCCTGTGGTCATCTCTGGTCCCTCCTGGTCACTCCTGTGGTCATCTCTGGTCCCCCTGGTCACTCCTGTGGTCCCCCCTGGTCACTGCTGTGGTCACTCCTGTGGTCCCCCCTGGTCACTCCTGTGGTCATCTCTGGTCACTCCTGGTCACTCCTGTGGTCCCCCCTGGTCACTCCTGGTCACTCCTGTGGTCACTGCTGTGGTCACTCCTGGTCACTCCTGTGGTCACTCCTGGTCACTCCTGGTCACTCCTGTGGTCACTCCTGTGGTCACTCCTGTGGTCCCCCCTGGCCACTCCTGGTCACTCCTGTGGTCCCCCCTGGTCACTCCTGTGGTCACTCCTGGTCACTCCTGTGGTCACTCCTGTGGTCACTCCTGTGGTCACTCCTGTGGTCCCCCCTGGTCACTCCTGTGGTCACTCCTGTGGTCACTCCTGTGGTCCCCCCTGGTCACTCCTGGTCACTCCTGTGGTCACTCCTGGTCACTCCTGTGGTCACTCCTGGTCACTGCTGTGGTCACTCCTGTGGTCCCCCCTGGTCACTCCTGGTCACTTCTGTGGTCCCCCCTGGTCACTCCTGTGGTCACTGCTGTGGTCACTGCTGTGGTCACTCCTGTGGTCACTCCTGGTCACTCCTGTGGTCACTCCTGTGGTCACTCCTGTGGTCCCCCCTGGTCACTCCTGTGGTCACTCCTGTGGTCACTCCTGTGGTCACTCCTGGTCACTGCTGTGGTCACTCCTGTGGTCCCCCCTGGTCACTCCTGTGGTCACTGCTGTGGTCACTGCTGTGGTCACTCCTGTGGTCACTCCTGGTCACTCCTGGTCACTCCTGTGGTCACTCCTGGTCACTCCTGGTCACTCCTGTGGTCACTCCTGGTCACTCCTGTGGTCACTCCTGTGGTCACTCCGTGCTCTCTCTCTCTGCAGGGATGGACGCCGGCTTCGTCTTCTTCCTCTTCCTCCTCATCGCCGCCCTCGGCGCGGCCGGCGCCGCCCTGGCCTGCCACATCAGGTGGGTGGCCCTGGTGGCCCTGGTGTCCCCTGGTGTCCCCTGGGTGTCCCCTGGTGTCCCCTGGTGTCCCCTCAGCAGCTCCACGTCCCTGTCCTGGTGGCCCTGGTGTCCCCTTGGTGGCTCAGTGTCCCTGTCCTGGTGGCCCTGGTGGCAACTTGGTGTCCCCACACTGGAATGTTCCTGCTGTCCCCAATGTCCCCCCAATGTCCCCAATGTCCTCCCAATGTCCCCCCAATGTCCCCAATGTCCTCCCAATGTCCTCCCAACCTCCTCAGTGTCCCCAATGTCCCCAATGTCCCCTGTGTCCCCCCAATGTCCCCAGTGTCCTCAATGTCCCCAATGTCCCCAATCCCCACAATGTCCCCAATGTCCCCAATATCCCCAATGTCCCCACTGTCCCCAATGTCCCCAATGTCCCTCAGTCTCCCCAGTGTCCCCAATGTCCTCTCAGTCTCCCCAATGTCCCCAACGTCCCCAATGTCCTCTCAGTGTCCCCAATGTCCCCTCAGTGTCCCCAGTGTCCCCAATGTCCCCAATGTCCCCACTGTCCCCCCTGTCCCGCAGGCGCCGCATTCTGCAGGCTCAGCTCATGAAGGGCCCCAACAAAATCATCCTGACCATGGAGGACCTGACCTTCATCAACACCCAGAGCAGCAAACAGGTGACACCCGTGGGGACAGCAATGGGGACAGCAAACAGGTGACACCCATGGGGACAATGGGGACAATGGGGACAGCAAACAGGGGACACCCATGGGGACAGCAATGGGGACAATGGGGACAGCAAACAGGTGACACCCATGGGGACAGCAATGGGGACAGCAAACAGGTGACACCCATGGGGACAATGGGGACACTGGGGACAATGGGGACACCCATGGGGACACCCATGGGGACAATGGGGACAGCAATGGGGACACCCATGGGGACAATGGGGACAATGGGGACAATGGGGACAGCAATGGGGACAGCAAACAGGTGACACCCATGGGGACAATGGGGACAGCAATGGGGACACCCATGGGGACAGCAATGGGGACAATGGGGACACCCATGGGGACACCCATGGGGACAATGGGGACAGCAATGGGGACAATGGGGACAGCAATGGGGACAGCAATGGGGACAATGGGGACACCCATGGGGACAATGGGGACACCCATGGGGACAGCAAACAGGTGACACCCATGGGGACACTGGGGACACTGGGGGACATTGGGGACAGCAATGGGAACATTGGGGCACTGGGGCATTTGGGACATTTGGGACATTGAGGGGACATTGGGGTCATCAGGGGGACATTGAGGACACCAAGGAGGTTGGGGACATTTGGGGACATTTGGGGACACCCAGGGGACATTGGGGACATTGGGGTCATTGAGAGGATTGGGGACACTGGGGGGACATTGGGGTCAGCAATGGGGACATTGGGGACATTGGGGACCCTCAGGGACATTTGGGGGGGCATTGGGGACATTGGGGACCCTCAGGGACATTTGGGGGGACATTGGGGACCCTCAGGGACATTTGGGGGGACATTGGGGACACTCAGGGACATTTGGGGGGCATTGGGGACCCTCAGGGACATTTGGGGGGGCATTGGGGACATTGGGGACCCTCAGGGACATTTGGGGGGACATTGGGGACCCTCAGGGACATTTGGGGGGGGCATTGGGGACATTGGGGACCCTCAGGGACATTTGGGGGGGGCATTGGGGACACCATGGAGGAAACCCCGGGGGGGGGGTGGGGACATCAGCAGGAACCTGTGGGGACACTTGGGGGACACCGAGGGGGCCACGTCCCCACGGCCCTGAGGCGTCTCTGGGGCCAGAGAGGACCTGGTGTGACCTCACCGTGACCTGTCCCCGCTGGTGACCCCTGGGTGACCCCCGGGTGACCCCCAGGTGACCCCTGGGTGACCCCCGGGTGACCCCAAGGCCGACCTGTCCCATGGGTGACCCCTGATGACCACTGATGTCCCCATGGGTGACCTCTGATGTCCCCCTGGGTGTCCCCATGGATGACCCCAGTGTGACCCCCGGGTGACCCCCGGGTGACCCCCGGGTGGCCCCTCCCCCACAGGTGGACAGCAGCCAGGCCAGCCTGGCCGGCCAGAGCGGGGGAGGGGACACCAAGAGCGGCCCCGGCAGCGCCACCCCCGGCCCCGACACCACCAACGTGGCCGTGGCCGAGGTGAGACCCCGCCCCCTGCGCCCGGCCCCGCCCCCTCCGCCCGGCTGGCTCCGCCCCCTCCTGCCCATTTCCCTCCCTCCCCGACTCCTCCCCCCTCCGCCCTCCCCACCCACGGGGGCGACAAGGCGAGGGGACAGCGGCTCCGCCCCCTGGGCAATGATTGACAGCTGATCCGCACAGCCAGGGGGATGATTGACAGCTGATCGCAGCCCCTGGGTGATGATTGACAGCTGATCTCAGCCCCCCTGAGCAATGATTGACAGCTGATCTCAGCTCCTGGGGATGATTGACAGCTGATCTCAGCTCCTGGGGATGATTGACAGCTGATCTCAGCCCCCTGGGCAATGATTGACAGCTGATCCCCACAGCCAGGGTGATGACTGACAGCTGATCTCAGCCCCTGGGGATGATTGACAGCTGATCTCAGCCCCCCTGAGCAATGATTGACAGCTGATCTCAGCTCCTGGGGATGATTGACAGCTGATCTCAGCTCCTGGGGATGATTGACAGCTGATCTCAGCCCCCTGGGCAATGATTGACAGCTGATCCCCACAGCCAGGGTGATGACTGACAGCTGATCCATGCCCCTGGGCGATGATTGACAGCTGATCCATGCCCCTGGGCAATGATTGACAGCTGATCCCAGGCCTTGGGCTATGATTGACAGCTGATCCCCACCCCTTAGCAATGATTGACAGCTGTGCCCCACTATGGGCGCTGATTGACAGCTGGCCCCGCCCCCCGGGCGGTGATTGGCAGCTGGCCCCGCCCCCGGGCAGTGATTGACAGCTGATCCCCACCCCTTAGCAATGATTGACAGCTGTGCCCCACCATGGGCGCTGATTGGCAGCTGGCCCCGCCCCCGGGCAGTGATTGGCAGCTGGCCCCGCCCCCGGGCAGTGATTGGCAGCTGGCCCCGCCCCTGGGCAGTGATTGACAGCTGGCCCCGCCCCCGGGCAGTGATTGGCAGCTGGCCCCGCCCCCCGGGCAGTGATTGACAGCTGATCCCCACCCCTTAGCAATGATTGACAGCTGTTTCCCACTATGGGCGCTGATTGACAGCTGGCCCCGCCCCCGGGCAGTGATTGGCAGCTGGCCCCGCCCCCGGGCAGTGATTGGCAGCTGGCCCCGCCCCCGGGCAGTGATTGACAGCTGGCCCCGCCCCCGGGCAGTGATTGGCAGCTGGCCCCGCCCCCGGGCAGTGATTGACAGCTGTTTCCCGCAGGATAACGCAGCAGCGAAGGGCAGCAGCAACCTCCCCCTGCTGCTGCTGCTCTTTAACCAGCAGGGCCTTGTCGCCTCCGTGCAGGTAAGAGCCAAAACCCCCCAAATTCACCCCAAAAACGACCCGGCTCCCCAAAACCCACCCAGCTGTCCCAAATCCCCCAAACTCACCCCAAAACCCCCCAAAACTGACCCAAACTCACCCCAAAACTGACTCCAAACCTCCTGCCAAACCCCAAACCCCAAACCCACCCCAGATACCCCAAAACTGACCCCAAAACTGACCCAAACTCACCCCAAAACTGACCCAAAACCTCCTGCCAAACCCCAAACCCCAAACCCACCCCAGATACCCCAAACCTGACCCAAACTCACCCCAAAACCCCCCAAAACTGACCCAAACTCACCCCAAAATCCAAACCCGACCTGAGTCACCCCAAAACCTCTCAAACTCACCCCAAAACCCCCCAAAAATGACCCAAACCCACCCCAAAACCGACCCAAAACCTCCTCCAGCCACCCCAAACCCACCCCAAACCCCAAACCCACCCCAGATACCCCAAACCTGACCCATACTCACCCCAAAACCCCCCAAAACTGACCCAAACTTACCCCAAAACCCAAACCCGACCTGAGTCACTCCAAAACCCCCCAAACTCACCCCAAAATCCACCCCAGGCACCCCAAAACCGCTCCAAAAACATCCCAAAACCCCAAAACCGCTCCAAATCCACCCAGGCACCCCAAAATCCCCCAAATTCGCCCCAAAACCCACCCAGGCACCCCAAAACTGCCGCAAACCCACCCAGGCACCCCAAAACCCCCCAAAACCATCCCAGGTGCCCCAAACCCCACCTGAGTCACCCCAAAATCCCCCAAACTCACCCCAAAATCCCAAACCTGACCTGAGTCACTCCAAAATCCCCCAAAGTCACCCCAAAATCCCAAACCCGATCCGAGCCACTCCAAAATCCCCCAAACTCACCCCAAATCCACCCCAGGAATCCCAAAACTCCAAACCCACCCCAGGCACCCCAAACCCACCCCAGGCACCCCAAACCCGCCCCAAACCCACCCCCGTTCCCCCCAGATCCCCCCTTTTCCCCAAAACCGCCCGGATTTACCCCAAACGCGCCCTCCCCGCAGGGTGACTGGGTGTGGCTGAAGAAGTTCCCGGGTGACCAACACACGGAGGTGAAACCGGCCACCAAGCTGACCTTCTGCAAGGTGGGGACACCTGGGGACACCCGGGGACACCTGGGGGGTGTGGGGACACCTGGGGGGCGTGGGGACACCTGGGGGCTTGGGGACATTCAGGGGTGTTGGGGACATTGTTGGGTCATTGTGGTCAAGGTTGGACCATGGGGACATTGAGGGCCATGGGGACATTGCTGAGTTTTGGGGACATTCAGGGGTCTTGGGGACATGATTGGGTCATTGTGGTGAAAGTTGGACCATGGGGACATCTTTGGGTCATCATGGTCAAGGTTGGACCATGGGGACATTGAGGGGTCAGGGGACATTGTTGGGTCATCATGGTCAAAGTTGGACCGCGGGGACATTGAGGGTCATCATGGTCAAGGTTGGACCATGGGGACATTGAGGGGCCGTGGGGACATTCAGGGGTCATGGGGACATTGTTGGGTCATCGTGGTCAAGGTTGGAGCGTGGGGACATTCAGGGGTCAAGAGGGACATTGAGGGTCATGGGGACATTGAGGGGCCATGGGGACATTGTTGAGTTTTGGGGACATCTTTGGGTCATCATGGTCAAGGTTGGGTCATGGGACATCGCTGAGTTTTGGGGACATTCAGGGGTCTTGGGGACATTGTTGGGTCATTGTGGTCAAGGTTTTACTATGGGGACATTGAGGGGCCATGGGGACATTGAGGGGTCATGGGGACATTCAGGGGTCATGGGGACATTCAGGGGTCATCGTGGTCAAGGTTGGACCATGGGGACATTGTTGAGTTTTGGGGACATTGAGGGTCATGGGGACATTGAGGGGCCATGGGGACATTGTTGGGATGTGGGGACATTGTTGGGATGTGGGGACATTATTGGGTCATCGTGGTCAAGGTTGGAGCGTGGGGACATTCAGGGGTCATGGGGACATCATTGGGTCATCATGGTCAAGGTTGGACCATGGGGACCTTGAGGGTCATGGGGACATTGAGGGGCCATGGGGACATCGTTGAGTTTTGGGGACATTGAGGGGTCATCATCGTCAAGGTTGGACCATGGGGACATTCAGGGGTCTTGGGGACATCGTTGGGTCATCGTGGCCAAGGTTGGACCATGGGGACATTGTTGAGTGTTGGGGACATTGAGGGTCATGGGGACATTGTTGGGTCATGGGGACATTGAGGGGCCATGGGGACATGATTGGGTCATTGTGGTGAAAGTTGGACCATGGGGACATCGTTGGGTCATCGTGGTCAAGGTTGGACCATGGGGACATTGTTGGGTCATGGAGACTTTGAGGGGTCATGGGGGACATCGTTGGGTCATGATGGACCATGGGGACACCGTTGGGTCTTGGGGACATCATTGGGTCATGGGGACATCGTTGGGTCATGATGGACCATGGGGACACCGTTGGGTCTTGGGGACATCATTGGGTCATGGGGACACCGTTGGGTCATCGTGGTCAAGGTTGGACCATGGGGACATTGTTGAGTTTTGGGGACATTCAGGGGTCTTGGGGACATCATTGGGTCATCGTGGTCAAGGTTGGACCATGGTGATCCATCTTTGGGTCCTGGGGACATCATTGGGTCATCCACATCCCCACCCACCCCGGTGTCCCCACCCACCCCGGTGTCCCCACCCACCCCGGTGTCCCCGCCCACCCCGGTGTCCCCACCCACCCCGGTGTCCCCTCCCGGTGTCCCCAGCTGCGGGACCTGCGTCACGAGAACGTGAACCTGTTCCTGGGCTTCTTCCACGACTGCGGCATCTTCGCCATCGTGTCGGAGCACTGCTCGCGCGGCAGCCTCGAGGACCTGCTGCGCAACGAGGACATGAAGCTCGACTGGATGTTCAAATCCTCGCTGCTCATCGACCTCATCAAGGTGACCACGGGGGTGGCCTTGGTGACCGCGGGGGTGGCCTCAGTGGCCGTGGGGGTGGCCTCGGTGGTCTGGTGGCCATGGGCGTGGTCATGGAGGTGGTGGTGGCCATGGGCGTGGTCATGGGGTTGTAGGCTACGCATGGCAGACCATGGTGGTGATTGTTGACCAGGGCACTGTTGACCATGGCCTGGTTGACCATGGCCTTGTTGACCATGACGTTGATGTTGACCATTGCAATGGCTGATCATGGCATTGTTGACCATGACGTTGATTGTTGACCATGGCCATGTTGACCACACCATTGACATTGACCATGGCTGTGTTGACCACACCGTTGATGTTGACCATGCCATTGTTGACCATGGCCATGTTGACCATGGCCATGTTGACCATGGCCATGTTGACCACGCCGTTGATATTGACCATGGCCATGTTGACCATGGCCGCGTTGACCACACCGTTGATGTTGACCATGCCATTGACATTGACCATGGCCGCGTTGACCACACCATTGACGTTGACCATGGCCATGTTGACCACATCGTTGACGTTGACCATGGCTGTGTTGACCACACCGTTGATGGTTGACCATGGCCATGTTGACCACACCGTTGACCTTGACCATGCCATTGACGTTGACCATGGCCATTGACGTTGACCATGGCCATTGACGTTGACCATGGCCGTGCTGACCACACCGTTGACCTTGACCATGGCATTGACGTTGACCATGGCCGTTGACGTTGACCATGGCCTTGACGTTGACCATGGCATTGACGTTGACCATGGCATTGACGTTGACCATGCCATTGACGTTGACCATGGCATTGACGTTGACCATGGCATTGACATTGACCATGGCCATTGACGTTGACCGTGGCCGCGCCGGCCGCAGGGCGTGCGGTACCTGCACCACCGGGACGTGGTGCACGGGCGGCTCAAGTCGCGGAACTGCGTCGTGGACGGGCGCTTCGTGCTCAAGGTCACCGACCACGGCTACAACCAACTGCTGGAGGCGCAGCGCGTGCCGGCCCCGCCCCCGCAGCCTCACGGTGAGGGCGGGGCCTGGGCGGGGCCACATGGGCGTGGCTTCATGGGGGGGGTCTCATGGATGAGGTCTCATGGGTGGGGCCAGATGGGTGTGGCCTCATGGGTGTGGTCTCATGGGTGTGGCATCATGGGTGGAGTCTCATGGATGTGGCTTTGTGGGTGTGGCTTTGTGGGTGTGGCTTTGTGGGTGTGGCTTTGTGGGTGTGATCTCATGGGCGTGGCATCATGGGTGTGGCCTCAAGGTTGTGGCTTCCTGGGTGTGGCCTCATGAGAATCAATGGGGACTCTGTGGGGGCGTGGCTTCACTGAGGGAAGGGGCGCGGCCTTATGGAAGGGTGTGGCCTGTGGAAAGGGACACACCCTTTGATTTAGGGGTGTGACTTGCTTTAGGGGCGTGGCTTGGTTTAGGGGCGTGGATTTTGCTTCAGGGGCGTGGCCTATGGTGTAGATGGGGTGTTGAGAGGCGGGGCGTATATTTGGGGCGTGGTCACACCCAACCACACCCAATTAAGGCAGGATCTCCTTGAAGAGGGCGTGGCCTGATGATGTGGGCGTGGCCTGTCCATTCATTGGTGCCACCACCCCTGGATGGAGGCCATGTGGAAGGGGGCGTGGCTGTATGAAATGGGCGTGGCTTATAGAAAAGGGGGCGTGGTCGGATAGTTACCAGTCATATGTGGGCGTGGCCTCAAGCTGGGCATGTCTGGGGGTGGGGGGCCACACCCTTAACCACCCTCCCATTGGATTCGGCGTTGGGGTGGGCGTGGCCTAGAGGGGCGGGCGTGCCTCGTGGTGGGGGTGGGCGTGTCCTACGGTGGCCCCGCCCCCCAGAGCGGCTGTGGACGGCGCCGGAGCTGCTGCGGGACGAGGCCCTGGAGCGCCGGGGCTCCTTCCGGGGCGACGTCTACGGCATCGGCATCATCATGCAGGAGGTGATCTGCAGGAGCCCGCCCTACTGCATGCTGGGGCTGCCCCCCGAAGGTGAGGGACCCCAAAAATGAGTTCTGCACCCCAAAAAACCCCCTGAGACCCCCCTGCATGCTGGGGCTGCCCCCCGAAGGTGAGACACCCCAAAAACGACCCCAAAAACGAATTCTGGACCCCAAAAAACCCCCAGAGCCCCAAAAACCGAGTTCTGCACCCCAAAAAACCCCCTGAGAGCCCCCCCTGCATGCTGGGGCTGCCCCCTGAAGGTGAGACCCCAAAACCGACCCCAAAACTGAATTCTGCACCCCAAAAAACCCCCAAACTGACCTCAAGTGACCCCAAGTGACCCCAAATGTCCTAAACTGACCCCAAACAACTCCAAGTGACCCACAACTGACCCCAAATGACCCCCCATAACTGACCCATAACTGACCCATAAATGACCCCAGGCTGACCCCAAGTAACCCCAAATGACCCCAAGCTGACCCATAACTGACCCATAACTGACCCCAAAATCCCATAACCGACCCATAACCGACTCATAACTGACCCCAAAATCCCCCCATAACTGACCCATAACTGACCCCAAAATCCCCCCATAACAGACCCCAAATGACCCCCCCCATAACTGACCCATAACTGACCCCAAGCTGACCCATAACTGAACCATCATTGACCCCAAATGATCCCCCCAAACTGACCCCAAAGTGACCCCAAACGACCCCAATTGCCCCCAAACGAGCTGATCTGACCCCGAGTGCCCCCGGCTGCCCCCAGAGATCATCGAGAAGGTCCAGCGGCCGCCCCCCCTGTGCCGCCCCGCGGTCTCGGCCGACCAGGCCCCGCTGGAGTGCATCCACCTGATGAAGGAGTGCTGGAGCGAGCAGCCCGAGAAGAGACCCACCATCGACCAGGTGTTCGACCAGGTGAGGGACAGGTGGGACAGGTACGGGGTGATGGAACCAGTATGGGACCAGTATGGGACTGGTGAGACCAGTATGGGGTGATGGGACCAGTATGGGACTGGTATGGGGTGATGGAACCACTATGGAACCAGTTTGGGCTGGAGCGAGCAGCCCGAGAAGAGACCCACCATCGACCAGGTGTTCGACCAGGTGAGACCAGTATGGGACTGGTGAGACCAGTATGGGGCACTGGGACCAGTACGGGACCAGTATGGGACTGTATGGGACAATGGAACCAGTATGGAACCAGTGTGGGACCAGTCTGGGCTGGAGCGAGCAGCCCGAGAAGAGACCCACCATGGACCAGGTGTTCGACCAGGTGAGACACCTGGGGACAGGTGTGGGGTGATGGAACCAGTATGGAACCAGTATGGGACAATGGAACCAGTATGGGACCAGTATGGGACTGGTGAGACCAGTATGGGACAATGGAACCAGTTTGGGCTGGAGCGAGCAGCCCGAGGAGACACCCACCATCGACCAGGTGTTTGACCAGGTGAGACACCTGGGGACAGGTGTGGGGTGATGGAACCAGTATGGAACCAGTATGGGACCAGTATGGGGTGATGGAACCAGTATGGAACCAGTATGGGACAATGGAACCAGTATGGGACCAGTATGGGACTGGTGAGACCAGTATGGGACAATGGAACCAGTTTGGGCTGGAGCGAGCAGCCCGAGGAGACACCCACCATCGACCAGGTGTTTGACCAGGTGAGACCAGTACGGGACTGGTGAGACCAGTATGGGGTGATGGGACCAGTACGGGACCAGTATGGGGTGATGGAACCAGTATGGGACTGGTTTGGGCTGGAGCGAGCAGCCTGAGGAGAGACCCACCATGGACCAGGTGTTCGACCAGGTGAGGGACAGGTGGGACAGGTGTGGGGTGATGGGACCAGTATGGGACCAGTATGGAACCAGTATGGAACCAGTATGGAACCAGTATGGAAACAGTATGGGGCACTGGGACCAGTATGGGGTGATGGAACCAGTATGGGACTGCTATGGGCTGGAGCGAGCAGCCCGAGAAGAGACCCACCATGGACCAGGTGTTCGACCAGGTGAGACCAGTACGGGACCAGTATGGGACTGGTATGGGGCATTGGGACCAGTATGGGACAATGGAACCAGTATGGAACCAGTATGGGACAATGGAATCAGTATGGGACCAGTATGGGACTGGTGAGACCAGTATGGGACAATGGAACCAGTTTGGGCTGAAGCGAGCAGCCTGAGGAGAGACCCACCATCGACCAGGTGTTCGACCAGGTGAGACCAGTATGGGACTGGTGAGACTGGTATGGGGTGATAGAACCACTATGGAACCAGTATGGGACCAGTATGGGACAATGGAACCAGTTTGGGCTGGAGCGAGCAGCCCGAGAAGAGACCCACCATCGACCAGGTGTTCGACCAGGTGAGACCAGTATGGGACTGGTGAGACCAGTATGGGGTGATGGGACCAGTACGGGACCAGTATGGGGTGATGGAACCAGTATGGAACCAGTATGGGATCAGTTTGGGTTGGAGCGAGCAGCCCGAGGAGAGACCCACCATGGACCAGGTGTTCGACCAGGTGAGACACCTGGGGACAGGTGTGGGGTGATGGAACCAGTATGGAACCAGTATGGGACCAGTATGGGGTGATGGAACCAGTATGGAACCAGTATGGGACCAGTATGGAACCAGTATGGGGCATTGGGACTGGTATGGGCTGGAGCAAGCAGCCCGAGACCCACCATGGACCAAGTGTTCGACCAGGTGAGGGACAGGTGGGACAGGTGCGGGTCTCTGTGAGGTTCTGTGGGGTCCCTGTGGGGTCCCTATGGGGTTCCATGAGACCCCATGAAGTTCTGTGAGGTTCTGTGGGTCTTCGTGGGGTTTCCATGGGGTTCTATGGGGTTCTATGAGATTCTGTGAAGTTCCATGAGGTTCCATGGGCGTCTCCATGGGGTTCCATGGGGTCTCCACGGGGTTTCCCTCGGGTCCCACGAGGTTCCCACGGGGGTCCTACCACGGGGGTCCATGAGGTTCCATGAGGTTCCATGGGAATTCTGTGGAATTCTGTGGAGTTTCCATGGGGTTCTACGGGGTCTCCATGAGGCTCCATGGTGTCTCCATGGGGTTTCCATGAAGTTCCATGGGGTTCCATGAGATTCCATGGGGCCTCCATGGGGTTCCATAAGATTCCATGGGGTTCCATGGGGTCTCCATGGGGTTCCATGGGGTTTCTGTCGGGTTCCATGAGGTTTCCATGGGGTTTCCATGAGGTTTCCATGGGGTCTCCATGGGGTCTCCACGGGGTTCCATGAGGTTCCATGGGGTTTCCATGGGGTTCCATGGGGTTTCTATCGGGTTCCATGAGATTCCATGGGTTTCCATGAGATTCCATGGGGTTCCATGAGGTTCCATGAGGTTCTATGGGGTTTCCATGAGGTTCCATGAGGTTCTATGGGGTCTCCATGGGGCTCCATGGGGTTCCATGAGATTCCATGAGGTTTCCATGGGGTTCCATGGGGTTCCATGAGGTTTTTTGAGATTCCATGGAGTTCCATGAGGTTCCATGAGGTTCCATGGGGTTTCCATGAAGTTCCATGGGGTTCCATGAGATTCCATGGGGCCTCCATGGGGTTCCATAAGATTCCATGGGGTTCCATGGGGTCTCCATGAGGTTCCATGAGGTTCCATGGGGTTTCCATGTGGTTCCATGAGATTCCATGAGGTTCCATGGGGTTTCCATGGGGTCTCCATGGAGTTCCACGGGGTTCCATGAGGTTCCAAGAGGTTCTATGGGGTCTCCATGAGGTTCCATGGGGCCTCCATGGGGTTTCCATGAGATTCCATGGAGTTCCATGAGGTTCCATGAGGTTTCCATGGGGTCTCCACGGGATCTCCACGGGGTTCCACGGGGTCACCACGGGGTTTCCCACGGGGTTTCCATCGGGTCCCACGAGGTTCCCACGGGGGCCCTACCACGGGGGTCCCACCTGGGGCCTGACCCCGCCCCCTTGTCTTGGCTTGGGCAGTTCAAGGGCATCAACAAGGGCCGCAAGACCAACATCATCGACTCGATGCTGCGCATGCTGGAGCAGTACAGCAGCAACCTGGAGGACCTGATCCGCGAGAGGACCGAGGAGCTCGAGATCGAGAAGCAGAAGACCGACAAGCTCCTGACCCAGATGCTGCCGCCGTGGGTCACCCTGGGGGTCCTGGGGGGGCTGGGGGTGGGTGGGTGTCACCCCACGGGTCCCCACCTGCAGGTTTGGGGTGGAGGGAGCTTCTGATGGTGGGCCTGGCCTGAGGTGTGGGGCAGGAGAGGACAATGGGGCAGGAGAGGTCAAGAGGGGTCATCAGGAGAAGGTTGGGGGTGGTCTTGACCCATTGACCCCGCCCAAATCTATGGGGCAGGAGAGGACAATGGGGCAGGAGAGGTCAAGGGTGGTCATCAGGAGGAGGTTGGGGGTGGTCCTGACCCATTGACCCCACCCAGATCTATGGGGCAGGAGAGGACAATGGGGGAGATGTGGGGCAGGAGAGGTCAGGGGTGGTCATCAGGAGAACGTTGGGGGTGGTCTTGACCCATTGACCCCACCCAGATCTATGGGGCAGGAGAGGACAATGGGGGAGATGTGGGGCAGGAGAGGTCAGGGGTGGTCATCAGGAGGAGGTTGGGGGTGGTCTTGACCCATTGACCCCACCCAGCCTTGACCCATTGACCCCATCCAGATCTGTGGGGCAGGAGAGGTCAAGGGTGGTCATCAGGAGAAGGTTGGGGGTGGTCTTGACCCATTGACACCACCCAGATCTGTGGGGCAGGAGAGGACAATGGGGCAGGAGAGGTCAAGGGTGGTCACCAGGAGAAGGTTGGGGGTGGTCTTGACCCATTGACCCCATCCAGATCTATGGGGCAGGAGAGGACAATGGTGGGGCTATGGGGCAGGAGAGGACAATGGGGCAGGAGAGGTCAAGGGTGGTCATCAGGAGGACGTTGGGGTCAGCCTTGACCCATTGACCACTCCCTGGACCTATGGGGCAGGATGGGGTCGAGGTGGTCATTGGGGACAGGCTGGGGTCAACTTGGACCCCTTGAACCAAGGTGGTCACTCTGGACAGGTTGTGGTCAACCTTGACCCCTTGACCAAGGTGGTCACTCAACCTTGACCCCTTGAACCAAGGTGGTCACTCAACTTTGACCCCTTGACCAAGGTGGTCACTCTGGACAGGTTGTGGTCAACCTTGACCCACTGACCCCTCCAGCCCTATGGGTCAAAGTGACCATTGGTGACCCTTGTGGTCAACCTTGACCCCTTGGAGACCCATCCAGACCTAGGGGTCACCACATGGCCAAAGTGACCCTTGGAGACTCCAGTGGTCAACCTTGACCCATTGACTCCTCCAGCCCTATGGGTCAAAGTGACCTTTGGTGACCCTTGTGGTCAACCTTGACCCCTTGGAGACCCATCCAGACCTAGGGGTCACCACATGGCCAAAGTGACCCTTGGAGATCCCTGTGGTCAACCTTGACCCCTCCAGCCCTATAGGTCCAAGTGACCACTGGAGACCCTTGAGGTCAACTTTGACCAACTGACCCCCACAAATCCCCAGAACCTCCCAGTGGCCACATTGTCCACTCCTTGACCACCAAACCCCTGTGGCCGGAGTGGTTGACCCCGTGTGACCCCGCTGACCCCCGTGTGACCCCGCTGACCCCCGGGCAGGTCGGTGGCCGAGGCGCTGAAGATGGGGACGCCGGTGGAGCCCGAGTACTTCGAGGAGGTGACGCTGTACTTCAGCGACATCGTGGGCTTCACCACCATCTCGGCCATGAGCGAGCCCATCGAGGTGGTGGACCTGCTCAACGACCTCTACACCCTCTTCGACGCCATCATCGGCTCCCACGACGTCTACAAGGTGACCACGGCCGGACATGGGGGGCATGGGGTCATGGGGGGACACCTCAGGGTGGTCACTCGGTCATGGGGGTCAGGGGTGGAGACCTCAGGGTGGTCACTCGGTCATGGGGTCATGGGGGGACACCTCAGGGTGGTCACTCGGTCGTGGGGTCATTGGTGGACACCTCAGGGTGGTCACTCGGTCATGGGGTCATGGGGGGACACCTCAGGGTGGTCACTCGGTCGTGGGTGGACCCCTCAGGGTGGTCACTCGGCCATGGGTGGTCACCTCAGGGTGGTCACTCAGTCATGGGGGGACCCCTCAGGGTGGTCACTCGGTCATAGGTGGACACCTCAGGGTGGTCACTCGGCCATGGGTGGTCACCTCAGAAAGGGGTGGCTACAAGGTGACCAAGGCAATGGTGGCCATGGTCAGCCCAGTCATGGGGTCATTGGTGGTCACCTTGGGGTGGTCACTCCGTCGTGGGTGGTCACCTCAGGGTGGTCACTCGGTCATGGGGGGACCCCTCAGGGTGGTCACTTGGTCATTGGTGGCCACCTCAGGGTGGTCACTCAGTCGTGGGGTCATGGGTGGACACCTCAAAAAGGGGTGGCTACAAGGTGACCATGGCAATGGTGGCCATGGTCAGCCCAGTCATGGGGTCATGGGTGGACACCTCAGGGTGGTCACTCGGTCATAGGTGGACACCTCAGGGTGGTCACTTGGTCATGGGGTCATGGGTGGACACCTCAGGGTGGGGGTTGGGGTCAGTGGTGGCTACAAGGTGACCATGGTCAAGGTGGCCTCATGGCCATGGTCAAGGGGTCAAGGTGACCCCATGGACCTGCTCAAGGTGACCTCATGGCCATGGTCAAGGTGGCCCCATGGACCTCTAGAGGTGACCCCGTGGCCATGATCAAGGTGACCTCATGGCCATGCTCAAGGGGTCAAGGTGGCCCCATGGCCATGGTCAAAGTGACCTCATGGCCTTGGTCAAGGTGACCCCATGGCCATGCTCAAGGTGGCCCCATGGACCTGCTCAAGGTGACCTCATGGCCTTGGTCAAAGTGACCTCATGGCCTTGGTCAAGGTGGCCCCATGGCCATGATCAAGGTGACCTCATGGCCAAGGTCAAGGTGACCTCATGGCCTTGGTCAAAGTGACCTCATGGAGCTGCTCAAGGTGGCCCCATGGCCATGGTCAAAGTGACCCCATGGCCATGCCCAAGGTCACACCATGGCCATAGTGAAAGTGACCTCATGGCCTTGCTCAAGGTGATCTCATGGCCATGGTCAAGGGGTCAAGGTGGCCCCATAGCCATGGTCAAGGTGACCACATGACCATGCTCAAAGTGACCTCATGGCCATGCCCAAGGTGGGACCTGCTCAAGGTGGCCCCATGGCCATGCCCAAGGTGGCCCCATGGCCATGCCCAAGGTGGCCCCATGGCCATGCTCAAGGCGTCAAGGTGGCCCCATGGCCATGGTCAAGGGGTCAAGGTGGCCCCATGGCCATGCCCAAGGTGACCCCATGCTGCTCCAATCCCTGCCCTTCCCATTGGCCACCACCAATGACCACACCCACCTCACAAAGACCCCGATGCCCACCTCAGGTGGTGGTCGAGCGACCACCTCAGGAGCTCTCAGGCGCTGTGGGCGTGTCCCGGGTGGGCGTGTCCCTGTGGGCGTGTCCCGGCAGGCGTGTCCCGGTGGGCGTGCCCACCCCCTGACCCCGCCCCCTGGCTCCTCCCGGCCAGGTGGAGACCATCGGCGACGCCTACATGGTGGCCTCGGGGCTGCCCAAGCGCAACGGGAACCGGCACGCCGGCGAGATCGCCAACATGTCCCTGGACATCCTCAGCTCCGTCGGCACCTTCAAGATGCGCCACATGCCCGAGGTGCCCGTGCGCATCCGCATCGGGCTGCACTCGGGTACGGCCCCGCCCCCCGCGCCCCATTGGCTGCCCCGGACACGCCCCGGCCACGCCCCCCTATGTGTTGGTCAAAGGTTGGGTGGTGGCGCCTTGGCCAATGTCAATGGGTGGAGTTGCGTGGGGGCTGAAGGTGGTGGCCACGCCCAGTTTGTGCCCACAGAGTGGCCACACCCCTTGCTGGCCACGCCCATCTTGGCTAACGCTCCATGGCCACGCCCCCCTCCGTGTGTTGGTCAAAGGTTGGGTGGTGGCGCCTTGGCCAATGGTCAATGGGTCGTGGTGGGTGTGGCCATGCCTTTGGCCATGCCCATTGGTCACGCCCTTACAGGCCACGCCCATCTTGGACCTGCTCAGTGGCCACACCCCTTACTGGCCACACCCACTTTGTGCCGACTCAATGGCCACACCCAACTTGGCCAACACTCAACGCAGTCGTGACCCATTGGATCCATTTAGGCCACGCCCCTTCCAGGACACGCCCCAAAGACCACACCCCCGTGGCCACACCCTCATTGGCCACACCCATCTATGACCACACCCTTGTTGGCCACACCCAACTCCTTGACCAACCCTCAACGCTCATCACCTGTTGACCCAACCCCTTCCACGACCCCACCCCTTTGTGACCACGCCCATTGGTGACCACGCCCTCTCTGTGGCCCCGCCCCCAGGGCCGTGCGTGGCGGGTGTGGTGGGGCTGACGATGCCCCGGTACTGCCTGTTCGGGGACACCGTCAACACCGCGTCACGCATGGAGTCCACCGGGCTGCGTGAGTGACACCATGAGGGGACAGGGGACACTGAGGGGGACACGGGGACAGGGACAGGGACAGGGACAGGGGACACTGAGGGGGACAGGGCAGGGGACACAGGGATGGGGACGGGGACACGGACAGGGGGACGGGGATGGGAACACAGGGATGGGACACAGGGACAGGGGACAGGGGACCAGGATGGGGACATGGACAGGGACAGGGGGACATGGCTGGGGACACAGGGACAGGGACATGGGGACAAGGGGACACAGGGACGGGGACACTGAGAGGGGACACAGGGACAGGGACATGGGGACAGGGACAGGGACACCACCAACACCGCGTCACGCATGGAGTCCACCGGGCTGCGTGAGTGACACCATGAGGGGACAGGGGACACTGAGGGGGACACGGGGACAGGGACAGGGACAGGGACAGGGGACACTGAGGGGGACAGGGCAGGGGACACAGGGCAGGGGACACAGGGATGGGGACGGAGACATGGACAGGGGGACGGGGATGGGGACACAGGGATGGGACACAGGGACAGGGGACAGGGGACAGGGACAGGGGACCAGGATGGGGACATGGACAGGGACAGGGGGACATGGCTGGGGACACAGGGACAGGGACATGGGGATAGGGGACACTGATGGGGACACTGAGAGGGGACACGGGGACAGGGACATGGGGACAGGGGACAGGGATGGGGACATGGGGACATGGGGACAGGGACAGGGACATGGGGACACGGGGACAGGGGACACCGTCAACACCGCGTCACGCATGGAGGCCACCGGGCTGCGTGAGTGACACCATGAGGGGACAGGGGACAGCGATGGGGACACTGAGGGGGACATGGCTGGGGACATGGGGACAGGGATGGGGACACGGCTGTTGGGGGTTTGGGGTTTTTTAGGGGGGGTTTTGTTTGGTTTTTGGGGCTTTTTGGGGCGATTTTTGGGGGTTTTAGGGTTTTTTTGGCGTTTTTTTGGGGGGGATTTTTGGAGGTTTTAGGGTTTTTTTAATCTTTTTGGGGTTTTTTCTGGGGTTTTTTTGGGGGGCTTTTTTGGGTTTTTTTTGGTTGTTTTTTTTTTTTTTTTTGTTATTTCTGGGTTATTTTGGGGTTCCTAAACCCCTTTTCCCCCCAGCCCATCGCATCCACGTGAACCAGCGCACTGGGGTCAGGGCTGTGGGGCCAGGGTCAGTTATGGGAATTTTTTGGGTGGTTTTTTTTGGGTTTTTTTTTTGGGTTTTTGGTTATTTTTGGGTTATTTTGGGGTTCCTAAACCCCCTTTTCCCCCAGCCTATCGCATCCACGTGAACCAGCGCACGGTCGCCATCCTGCTCTCGCTGCAGGAGGGGTTCAAGGTCGACATCCGCGGCAAGACCGAGCTCAAGGTGAGCCCAAACCGCCCCAAAACAGCCCCAAAAAACCCCAAATACGGCCCAAAACTGCCCGAGAAACCCCCAAATACGGCCCAAAACCACCTGGAAACCCCAAATACAGCCCAAAACTGCCTGAGAAACCCCAAAACAGCCCCCAAAACCCCAAATACGGCCCAAAACTGCCTGAGAAACCCCAAAACAGCCCCAAACCACCTAAAAACCTCAAATACAGCCCAAAACTGCCCAAGAAACCCCAAATATGGCCCAAAAAACCCCAAACAGCCCAAAACTGCCTGAGAAACCCCAAAACTGCCCCAAAAAAAACCCCAAATCCAGCCCAAAACCACCTGGAAAACCCCAAATAGAGCCCCAAAACCACCTCAAAACCCCAAATACAGCCCAAAACTGCCCAAGAAACCCTAAAACAGCCCAAAAAACCCCAAACAACCCAAAACTGCCAGAAAACCCCAAATACAGCCCCAAAACTGCCTGAAAAAACCCCAAATACAGCCCCAAAACCACCTGAAAACCCCAAATACAGCCCAAAACTGCCTGAGAAACCCCAAAACAGCCCAAAAAACCCCAAACAGCCCAAAACCACCTGGAAAACCCCAAACAGCCCCAAAACCACCTGAAAACCCCAAATACGGCCCAAAACTGCCCGAGAAACCCCAAAACAGCCAAAAAAACCCCAAATACAGCACAAAACTGACCCTATAAGTGACTGACCCCACACCTGGCCCCATAACCCTATAACTGACCCTATAACCCTATAACTGACCCTATTACCGTACACCTGGCCCTATAACCCCATACTTGACCCTATAATCTATAGGGTAAGGGAGTGGAGAACACCCATTGGCTGTGCCCCATAACTGACCCTGACCCTATAACCCCATACCTGACCCTATAACCCCATAGCTGACCCTATAACCCTATAACCCACCCTGTTGTTTATAGGGGAAGGGAGTGGAGGACACCCATTGGCTGTGCCCCATAACTGACCCTGACCCTATAACTGACCCTATAATCCTATAACTGATCCCATAACTGACCCATACCTGACCCTTAACCCCGTAACTGACCCTATAACCCTATAACCCACCCCATTGTTTATAGGGTAAGGGAGTGGAGCACACCTATTGGCTGTGCCCATAGCTAACCCCATACCTGACCCTATAACTGACTGATCCTATAACTGACCCTATAACCCCATAGCTGACCCTATAACCCTATAACCCACCCCGTTGTTTATAGGGTAAGGGAGTGGAGGACACCTATTGGCTGTGCCCACACCTGACCCCATAGCTGACCCCATAACTGACTGATCCTATACCTGACCCTATAACCCCATAGCTGACCCCATTGTTTATAGGGTAAGGGAGTGGAGGACACCCATTGGCTGTGCCCATAGCTGACCCTGACCCTATAACTGACTGATGCTATAACTGACCCATACCTGACCCTATAACCCCATAGCTGACCCTGACCCTATACCTGACCCTATAACCCTATAACCCACCCCATTGTATATAGGGTAAGGGAGTGGAACCATTGGCTGTGCCCATAGCTGACCCTGACCCTATAACTGACTGATCCTATAACTGACCCATACCTGACCCTATAACCCCATAACTAACCCTATAACTGACCCTATAACCCCATAACTAACCCTATAACCCCATAGCTGACCCTATAACCCTATAACCCCATATGTGATGCTATAACTGACCCTATAGCCCTGTAACCCACCCCGTTGTTTATAGGGTAAGGGAGTGGAGGACACCCATTGGCTGGGCCCCATAACTGACCCTGACCCTATAACTGACCCTATAACCCCATAGCTGACCCCATACCTGACCCTATAACCCCATACCTGACCCTATAACCCTATAACCCACCCCGTTGTTTATAGGGGAAGGGAGTGGAGGACACCCATTGGCTGGGCCCCATAACTGACCCTGACCCTATAACTGACCCTATAACCCCATAGCTGACCCCATACCTGACCCTATAACCCCATAACTGACCCTGACCCTATAACCCTATAACCCACCCCGTTGTTTATAGGGTAAGGGAGTGGAGGACACCCATTGGCTGGGCCCCATAACTGACCCTGACCCTATAACTGACCCTATAACCCCATACCTGACCGCATACCTGACCCTATAACCCCATAGCTGACCCTATAACCCTATAACCCACCCCGTTGTTTATAGGGGAAGGGAGTGGAGGACACCCATTGGCTGTGCCCATAGCTGACCCTGACCCTATAACTGACTGATCCTATAACTGACCCATACCTGACCCTATAACCCCATAACTAACCCTATAACTGACCCTATAACCCCATAACTAACCCTATAACCCCATAGCTGACCTTATAACCCTATAACCCCATATGTGACGCTATAACTGACCCTATAACCCTATAACCCACCCCGTTGTTTATAGGGTAAGGGAGTGGAGGACACCTATTGGCTGTGCCCCATAACTGACCCTGACCCTATAACCCTATAACCCACCCCGTTGTTTATAGGGTAAGGGAGTGGAGGACACCCATTGTCTGGGCCCCATAACTGACCCTGACCCTATACCTGACCCTATAACCCCATAGCTGACCCTATAACCCTATAACCCCATATGTGACGCTATAACTGACCCTATAACCCTGTAACTGACCCTATAACCCACCCCGTTGTTTATAAGGGAAGGGAGTGGAGGACACCTATTGGCTGTGCCCACACCTGACCCCACACCTGACCCTATAACCCCACACCTGACCCTATAACCCTGTAACTAACCCTATAACCCACCCCGTTGTTTATAGGGGAAGGGAGTGGAGGACACCTATTGGCTCGTGGGCCGCGAGGGATTCACCAAACCCATCCCCACCCCCCCCGACCTCCTGCCGGGGTGAGTTATGGGGTGGGTTATAGGGGCGGGGAGTTATGGGGTGGGTTATAGGGGCGGGGAGTTATGGGGTGGGTTATAGGGGCGGGGAGTTATGGGGTCGGTTATAGGGCCGGGGAGTTATGGGGTGGGTTATAGGGCTGGGGAGTTATGGGGTGGGTTATAGGGGCGGGGAGTTATGGGGCCGGTTATAGGGGCGGGAGTTATGGGGTGGGTTATAGGGGCGGGGAGTTATGGGGTGGGTTATAGGGCCGGGAGTTATGAGGTGGGTTATAGGGGCGGGGAGTTATGGGGTCGGTTATAGGGCTGGGGAGTTATGGGGTGGGTTATAGGGGCGGGGAGTTATGGGGTGGGTTATAGGGCTGGGGAGTTATGGGGTCGGTTATAGGGGCGGGGAGTTATGGGGTCGCTTATAGGGCCGGGGAGTTATGGGGTCGGTTATAGGGGCGGGGAGTTATGGGGTCGGTTATAGGGCCGGGGAGTTATGGGGTGGGTTATAGGGGCAGGGAGAGTTATGGGGCCGGTTATAGGGGCGGGGAGTTATGGGGTGGGTTATAGGGCCAGGGAGTTATGGGGTCGGTTATAGGGCCGGGGAGTTATGGGGTGGGTTATAGGGCCGGGGAGTTATGGGGTGGGTTATAGGGCCAGGGAGTTATGGGGTCGGTTATAGGGCCGGGGAGTTATGGGGTGTGGGGTTATGGGGTTTGGGGTTATGGGGTGAGTATGGGGTTATGGGGTTTGGGGTTATGGGGTGGGTATGGGGTTTGGGGTGTGGGGTTATGCAGTTATGGGGTTTGGGGTTATGGGGTGAGTGGGGTTTGGGGTGAGTGGGGTTTGGGGTTATGGGGTGGGTATGGGGTTATGGGGTTTGGGGTTATGGGGCGGGGTTTGGGGTTATGCAGTTATGGGGTTTGGGGTTATGCAGTTATGGGGTTTGGGGTGTGGGGTTATGGGGTGAGTGGGGTTTGGGGTTATGGGGTGTGGGGTTATGCAGTTATGGGGTTTGGGGTGTGGGGTTATGGGATTTGGGGTTATGGGGTTTGGGGTTATGCGGTTATGGGGTTTGGGGTTATGGGGTGGGTATGGGGTGAGTGGGGTTTGGGGTTATGGGGCCGGGTTTGGGGTTTGGGGTTTGGGGTGAGCGAGGCCATTATAGGATCGAGTATGGGGTGGGAAAGGGGTTATGGGGTGTGGCTATGGGGCAACGCCAGGATTGGGCGGAAAATCCCCAAAAAATCCCCCCAAAAAATCCCCAAAAGATCTCCCAAAAAATCCCCAAAAATCTCCCCAAAAAATCCCCCAAAATCCCAAAACCCCCGAATTCGCCCCAAACCCCTCAGGGCGAGCAACCACGGGATCAGCCTGGACGAGATCCCGGCCGAGCGGCGCCGGAAGCTGGAGAAGGCGCGGCCGGGCCAGGTGCTGAAATAGCCCCGCCCACCAGGTGAGCAGGCCACGCCCACCGCGACAAACCCCGCCCCCACTGAGCCCCGCCCACAAGGTGAGCAGGGATAGAAGCCCCGCCCCCAATTGGTCACACCCAATCGGTCAGAAAGGACACAAACCTCACCCACAGTAAGCCCCGCCCACCTGGTGAGAAGGCAACGCCCACCGGGACAAACCCCGCCCCCATGTCGTGAGTAGGGACATACGCCCCGCCCACAATGGGCCAAGCCCATTGAGTTAGAAAGGAAATAAGCCCCGCCCACATTAGGCCACACCCACCATGGAAGCAGGGACACACCCACCAAGTGAGCCCCGCCCTCGATAAGAGTCAGAGACCACGCCCTCCCCATGCCACACCCACCCCTTCCCTTCACCCATCCCCTCCCCAGCTCATTTGCATCTCATTATCCCCACAGCTGCAGGCGGCCTCGCCCCGCCCCCGAGGGGCGGAGCCAATGCTGCTTGGCCGCCGAGGGACCCCGCCCGGGTGACGTCACAGGAGGCGGAGCCCTGGCAGCACAAGGGGATTTGGGGGCGGAGCTTGGACCAAAGGGGCGGAGCTTGGACCCAAGGAATTGGACTTGGCTAAGGGGCGCGGGGTTTGACCCTAAAATGGGCGTGGTTTGGATTTTTGGGTGGGGCTTTGCTGAAAAGGGGGTGTGGTTTACCCGGAAATGGGCGTGGTTTGTATTTATGGGCGTGGCTTGGCCCTAAGATGGGCGTGGCTTGATCCCGGGGCAGGGCCCCAACAGCCAATAGGATCCCGACTCTCACAAAGGGGCGGAGCCCTCAGGGAACGTTTGTCCAATCAGAGCCCAGGGCGGCCATCTTGGGCCAATGGTGGCGCAGCTCCGCCCTCACGGGGCGGGGTCGCGGTTCCCGCTCGTTTCTCCCGGAATTTTTCCCGATTTTCCCGGATTTTCCCCCATTCCCCAGGCCCCGCCCCCTTCCCCAGGCCCCACCCCCTCTCCTGTAGCTCCTCCCACACCCTCCAAATAAAGTCGATCCCAAAGATTTTGGTAGGAAAACGTCGGATTTTGGTTCAAACCGGGCCCGGCCGCCATCTTGGGGAGTGGGAGGGGCCATGGTGGCCATTTTGTGGGTGTAGCCATGGCAACCATCTTGGGGGTGGGGCTATGGCAGCCATTTTGGGGGTGTGGCCATATTGGGGTGGAGTCATGGCGGCCATTTTGTGCATCCAGCCATGGCAGCCATCTTAGGGGTGTGGTCACGGCAGCCATTTTGTGAATCCGGCCATGGCAGCCATCTTAGGGGTGTGGTCATGGCAGCCATTTTGTTGGCATGGTCATGGCAGCCATTTTGAGGATGTGGTCACAGCAGCCATTTTGTGCACCAGACCATGGCAACCATCTTAGGGGTGTGGTCATGGCGGCCATTTTGTGGGTTAGACCATGGCAGCCATCTTAGGGGTGTGGTCACGGCAGCCATTTTGTGGGTCAGACCATGGCAGCCATTTTGGGGGTGTGGTCAAAGCAGCCATTTTGTTGCTGTAGTCATGGCAGCCATTTTGGGGGTTGAACTATGGTGGCCATCTTGGGGGTGTGGCCATATTGGGGGTGGAGTCATGGCAGCCATTTTGTGGGTTGGACCATGGCAGCCATCTTAGGGGTGTGGTCACGGCAGCCATGTTGTGGGTCAGATCATGGCAGCCATTTTAGGGGTGTGGTCATGGCAGCCATTTTGTTGCTGTAGTCATGGCAGCCATTTTGTGGGTCAGACCATGGCAGCCATCTTAGGGGTGTGGTCATGGCAGCCATTTTGTGCATCAGACCATGGCAGCCATTTTGGGGGTGTGGTCACAGCAGCCATTTTGTTGCTGTAGTCATGGCAGCCATTTTGGGGGTTGAACTACAGTGGCCATCTTGGGGTGAGACCATGGTGGTCATCTTGGGGGTGTGGCCATATTGGGGGTGTGGTCACGGCAGCCATTTTGTGGGTTGGACCATGGCAGCCATCTTAGGGGTGTGGTCACGGCAGCCATTTTGGGGGTTTGAACTACGGTGGCCATCTTGGGGTGAGACCATGGTGGTCATCTTGGGGGTGTGGCCATGGCAGCCATGTTGGGGGTGTGGCCATGTTGGGGGTGGAGTCATGGCAGCCATTTTGTGGGTGTGGCCATGGCAGGCAGCCATCTTGGGGTCAAGTTAAGGCAGCCATCTTTTGGGTGGGGCCATGGCAGCCATTTTGTGGGTGGGGCCAAGGTGGCCATCTTGGGGGTGGAGCCATGGTGGCCATCTTATGGATGTGGCCATAGCAGCCATCTTGGGGGTGTGGTCATAGCAGCCATTTTTGGGGGTGTGGCCATGTTGAGGGTAGAGTCATGGCAGCCATCTTTGGGTGGAGCCACGGCGGCCATCTTGGGGAGTGGAACCATGGCGGCCATCTTGGGGTGGGACCACAGTGGGCATTTTTTGGGTGGGGGCCAAGGCAGCCATTTTGTGGGTGTGGCCATAGCAGCCATGTTGGGGGTGTGGCCATTTTGGGGGTGGAGCCATGGCAGCCATTTTAGGGGCGGGACCAAACAAGATACGCTCATGGCGGCCATTTTGGGGCGGCCATTTTGGGGTGGCCATTTTGGGGCGGCATCACGGCAGCCATGTTGTGGGCAGGGTCATAGCAGCCATTTTGGGGGTGGAGCCACGGCAGCCATTTTAGGGGTGGGACCAAAGAAGACGCGCTCACGGCGGCCATTTTGTGGTAGCATCACGGCAGCCATCTTGTGGGCGTGGCCACATCAGCCATATTGGGGGCGGGGTCACACCGTCCACTTCAGGCACCTGTGGGGGAGGGAAGGGAAAGGTCAGGGGTCACCAGGGTGAGACCCCGCCCCCTCCAAGAACTGGGGGTCCCAACCTCAGGAAACATTCCCAGAGAATTTTCCCATTCTTTTCCCACTTTTCCCCATTTTCCCCAATTTTTTCCCTTTTTTTTACAGTTCTTCCCATTTTTTCCCCATTTACAGCAAATTTTTTCCTTTATCCCATTTTTTTCCCATTTTCCCTGGAATTTTTCCTATTTTCCCAGTTTTTTTTCCCTGTTTGTCCCATTTTCCCTCAGATTTTTCCTATTTTTCCCGTTTTTCCCCCCATTTTGTTGCCGTTTTTTCCCACTTTTTCACCATTTCCCCCCCTTTTTTTTCGCCCTTTTTTCCTGGGTTTTTTCCCAATTTTTGTTGGTTTTCCCATTTTCCTCATTTTTTTTTCTGGGTTTTTTCCTATTCTTTTTCCCATTCTCCTCCATTTTTGGCTGCTTTTCCCACTTTTTGACCGGTTTTCCCTTTTTGTCTCCCTTTTTCCAATTTCCCCAAGTTATTTCCCATTTTCCTGGGGTTTTTCCCATTTTCCCAGGTTTCCCCAATTTTTCCTGGGATTTTTTCCCATTTATTTTCCCATTTCCTCCAATTTTTCACCGTTTTTCCCATTTTCCCCCATTTTTTACCCATTTTTTTCCCATTTCTGGCTGTTTTTCCCAGTTTTCCTCCCATTTTTGTTGGTTTTCCCATTTTCCCCATTTTTCCCCATCGTTCCTCGGGTTTTTTCTCCATTTTTTTTCTGGTTTATTTCAATTTTTGGCCGTTTTTTTTTCCCATTTTTTCACCATTTTTTCACCGTATTTTCCATTTTTTCATCATTTTTCCCCATTTTCAGGGTGAATCCTGACCTGGTGTCCTGGTGGGTGCCCAGGCAGCGCCTGCAGCCCCACAGGTGACACAGGTGTGTCCCCAAACCCATTTTTGGCTGTTTTTCCCCATTTTTTTCCCCCATTTTTTCACCATTTTTCCCCATTTTTTCACCGTTTTTCCCTGTTTTTTCCCCATTTTTTCACCCCCCCAGTACCTGGTGTCCTGGTGGGTGCCCAGGCAGCGCGTGCAGCCCCACAGGTGACTCAGGTGTGTCCCCAAACCCATTTTGGGCTGTTTTTCCCCCATTTTTTCACCGTTTTTTCCCCATTTTTTCCCCATATTTCCCAATTTTTTTCCCCCATTTTTTTGCCCCCCAGTACCTGGTGTCGTGGTGGGTGCCCAGGCAGCGCGTGTGCAGCCCCACAGGTGACTCAGGTGTGTCCCCAAACCCATTTTTGGGCTGTTTTTCCCCATTTTTTCCCCATTTTTTCACCGTTTTTCCCCATTTTTCCCTGTTTTTTCACCATTTTTCCCCGTTTTTTTCCCCATTTTTTTGCCCCGCCATACCTGGTGTCCTGGTGGGTGCCCAGGCAGAGCATGCAGCAGTACCTGGCCCCACAGGTGACTCAGGTGCGTCCCCAAACCCATTTTTGGGCCGTTTTTTCCCCATTTTTTCACCGTTTTTTCCCCGTTTTTTCCCCATTTTTTCGCCCCCCCCGTACCCGGTGTCCTGGTGGGTGCCCAGGCAGTACCTGGCCCACAGGTGACTCAGGTGTGTCCCCAACCATTTTTGGGCCGTTTTTCCCCATTTTTGGGCCATTTTTCCCCATTTTTTTGCTCTCCCATACCTGGTGTCCTGGTGGGTGCCCAGGCAGCGCGTGCAGCCCCACAGGTGATACAGGTGTGTCCCCAAACCCATTTTTGGGCCGTTTTTCCCCATTTTTTTCCCATTTTTTCACCATTTTTCCCCATTTTTTCACCGTTTTTCCCCGTTTTTTCCCCATTTTTTCGCCCCCCTGTACCTGGTGTCCTGGTGGGTGCCCAGGCAGCGCGTGCAGCAGTACCTGGCCCCGCAGGTGACGCAGGTGTAGCCCGAGGGGAAGCCGCAGACGGCGCAGAAGTGGCGCTGGGGCAGCCGGGACGGGGCGGCCCCGGCCCGAGACGTAATTGGGGCCCTCGGCTGCGCTCAGGTTCTGAAGGGGTTAAAATGTAAAACTCAGAGCCAAAATCCAGCTGAAAATGCAAAAAATTCAGCCCCAAAATCCAGAATTTTGACTCAAAATAAGCCCCAAATCCAGCAAAAAACGCAAAATTCAGCCCCAAAATCCAGCTTAAAACCAAA